TTTAAGCCTTCTACTACTTTAAAAAAAAAAAAAAAAAAAGATGTAATGAATGTTGGCACACACAGAACCTGCTACATAGGGTAGAGAACCCTTTTCAGTAGTGTTAAAATCGCAAAGGGTACCGGGAAGACTACGATTTACCTTGCCTCTAAAGAGTCAGGGTAGACTTGAAGGAAAAGTGCATCAAACAAGAGCTGCTGATCTGAAAAAGCCACACATGACAGAAAGCATATGTTGATGCTCAGTTCTGTTCAAGCTAGACAATACTCACCAAGGAGCAAGGTGCAAGTGGGTTGATTTCAGAAGGACATGAACCCTGTGTGTTGATTCCATTCTGCTGTTCTTGAGATTTAGTTGCTGTCAAGTGCCTGAAGTGGTGCTTTATTTTTTGTTTGCCTCACAATTACATTGGTGGCATGTGCTAATATAAAGAGCTTTAACTTCAAACATTATTGGACTAAAGAGATGAACGGTTGTGTTGCGACAGAGAACCAGATTTTTGCTATTCTTAGAGCAACAGTATTCCTCAATCCTGTCTGTTCTGCGGTGTTAAGCTAAGAACAGGTAAAACAGGGTAATGGTAATCTGGACCTTAATTTCTGCAGTTCATTTCTTTTAATGTTCTGTCTGCAAAAACTCAGGAAAGTGATTGTGATTTGTACAGTACCTCAAAGGAATGTGTTGAAAGCACTATGTACTGCTGAGAGTTATAGGCTAGGCTTCAATGTTACTTTATATTAAATATGTATGTTTACCTCAACAATTGGAAAATGGCAAGAAAAATTACTTTGAATGTATCCAGGAAAAAACAAAATAGAGTGTGATATGACTGAAACTTTACAGTTTTTAAAAACAGAAGCAGAAGGATTTCCCGGTGTTAAGGAACAGTTCGATCGCCAATTTGTCCGATCAAACCAGAGCAAAATGATTCTTCTTGTTGGTAAACTGTAAGAGTTTTCAGCATATTGCTCCTTGATACTTACGTGATACAGTCTTTAGAAGGTGCATAGATGAAAAAAGAGCCACTTAATCGATTTCTGTTAGCATCTGAAACGGTCAAACGTAGGATTTGGTAGGACTCCGGGAGGCAAATTCCCTTAAGCTAGGACTGCGGGCCTTTGTGGCGCGGCTCTGGCTGTGGTCTGGAGGTTATTTTGGTGAGGCTGTGGGGAGCGGATTGAGCAGAGGTCACCGGCAGAGCCGGCAGCTGCGGAGCTGCTTCGAGCAGCGCAGCCGACTGTGACCGAGCAAACAGTACAAGCAGCAAGGCAAAACTGAGCCCTCGAAACACCTTCATTTCCCTTCCCGAACGGGAGAGTTGAGTTTTTGTTGTGTGCGTACAGCTCCATTGTCCTTCACGCAATCTTCGTTTCACATCCATTAGGAATCTTCCAGGCTGGAGTGTGCCCACCATTATTTCTACCTCAGTTTTGTTACATTTCTCTTGGAAAGCAAAGTAAGGAATAGGGTCAAAAACAAAACCAACGCAAAAGTCAGATTACATTAGGAATGTGAACCTGCTAAACAAGTTTCAGAGAGCTGCTGGGTTTTTTTTTTTTCTTTTTTCCCCCCCCCTTGAAGTGAAGCTTTTCTGTATTTTAGTGCTCTTTCCCCCACACTTTCCTCCCCCCAGCCCGAGGAAGAGCGAGAACCTGCATCCGCAGAGGAAGCTGCTGGAAGGGCAAGCTGGCATGTGTGGCATTGTGCTCCCTTCTCCCCGCCCCAGCTTCCCTTTTATCCTTTAATGCTCCATGTCCCGCTCTTCTCCTGACAGCTGACTGGGGCTGGGTAATGTCTCCGAGCAGGAGCAGTGGCCGCTGCAGCTGCCCAAAGCCTCTGCCATCACACGAGCAAAACAGCCTTGCTTTTTTGAATGTATTTTTTTTCGTTTGTTGTTTACTTTGAAGAGACAGTAACAAAACTGTTTGCAAAGCACTGGCATTTAATGTTTCTGCTAAGTAATGTACATTCAAAACCATGGAATAAATGCACTGAAAAGCCCCAAGAAGAGAGATACCAATCTGTTACTAGATCGTATTTGTCTTCTCAAAACTGTACAGAACTCATCTGTTCCGTTACGTCAGTGGAGACATTTAGTGTTCAGAAAGCTAATGAGGGAGTTTGTGATATTGCTGGAAATTTATGACTCTTGATTATAACTTTACTTTATCTTTCTTTTAATATATATATAAATATATATATATATTTAGATAGGTCATGCTAAAAACAGAGCAAATAAACCAAAACTAATTTAAGATGGATTCCTGGCAAACATTTTGTCTATCTAAAACTTTGTTTTAAGCATAGAAGTATCATTTTAAAAACAGTGCCTTTCATTAAGGATATAGAAATTAAGACTTAAGTACATCACTTGCTTTTTTTTGTTTTGTTTTTATTTTCCCCTTTCAAACAGCAACTACAGTCCTCGTTAGGACCCAGTCTTTTTGCTTCCCTGATCCTCTGCAGGCTGCTTCTTCACCTGGTCATTTTGCCATCTTCATCGCTGGGAAATCCTGATGTTCCCATTAGCTGTAGGTTCCCACTGATCACACTGGCAAGTTTTCTGCTGCCGTTTCTGCTGACCCAATTTCCATCTTAGACATTGCCTTTTGTAGCTGCCATCGAGCTGTGCTCATCTGAAAGGCTCAGGCAAGTTCTGATAAACCAAGTCTTGTTCAGATAGACCACTTCTGAGCAAAGCCTGCTCCTAACTGATTTTTTTTGCAGCTAGGGAAACGAGTGCTGCATACCAGTGTATTTTCCCTTTCTCTCTCTCTCTCTTTTTTTTTATCCTGTAGCAAAACCAAAAGTAAATGAAATTATAGATGGTCACTTTGGCTTCCAGCTTTAATCCAACCTCTTTAAAAAGTCACTCTGGGAAAGGAATTTTTCAAATGTGAACCAGTGTGGCAGGCAAGCAGAGACCCCAACGGTGTGAAAATGCAGCTGCCGCACACGCTTCCACGTGCTGCAGGGCCCTGGTTCCTCTTGGGGGACAGCAGAACCTGAGACTTCACCCCTCCCGTGGGACTTCACCCCTCCCACGGCAGCTGCAGAGAGAGGAGGACGGAGCTGATGGCTGCCTACGTCTTCCCTGCTCACGGTCACCCCTGGGGGGCCTCTCAAGGACCATCTGGGGCAAGAGCTTGGTCATGTCGTGTTCCCTGGAGAGCTCGGCGCTTCTCCAGGTGCTTCTGTCCCCCTCGATATGCGGGATGAGCTGCCCAAGCCGCCTGGGGACAAGGGCCTCTCCAGAGCCAAGATCCTGAGCAGGTCCCAAAAATCAGGATGGCTTTTGGGAAGGGAGCAAAAAAAAATGTATATTCTCACATGTCCTCAGGATGAAATGTTTGCTAGTCTGTACGTTTCCATGGTAGGAAGCTGTTTGCTGAATCTTGCAGTGGGGCCAAGACAGGGGCAGCTGCTGCAGAAATGTACCTGTGGTCAGCAGGTCCCTGAGCACTGGGGCAGCCTTGGATTTTAAGAGCCTGAAATGGTTAAACATGGTTAATGATCATCTGCTGTGTCAGCCTGTCTTGGGAAGTGCTTTAGGTAGGTTTTCTTTTTTTTTTTTTTTTTTTTTTTTTTTTTTTTTACTGTGGATACATTAGCTCACATTCTTCCTTGTAGCTTTGTAGCAATTCCTACAGCAACAAAAAGTAAAATAAATTGTAGGAATAATTGTACAAGCTGAAGGATCAATATCAATTCAAGGAGGAGTTCATAATGACCTTATGTGAGACAGAAATGGAAATACTCTGTACTTCTGGCATGTTTCTCTCCAAAATACTTAGAACATTAGTGACAATATAGAAAAGTTTGCTGACTGAGCTGATCAATGGAATGTGAAAGCAGTTTACTTTAAGGCTATTTACTTTCACACGGCATATTTATCTATTAGTCAGTTTGTATTCCACTCAAATGCGGATAGATGGGCAAAATGTTTTCTTGAGCATTACAAACCTACCGAGGGGAAAATAAACCATCTGACTAAAATACATAGACCAAACACCATCTGGGTGTCTATATTGGCTCTTTGGAGGCTGTGCTCTGTAAAAATGGTGCAAGGTCATATTCAGATGGGTTTTCATGGGCTTTTTCCTAGGAGATAATATAGTTAAGAAGACCCAAATTAATTTCTCCATCAGGATGTTAATAAGATGAATGCAAATTTGGGGATCCAACCAGCGTTTCCATAATCTGCAAATACATATACAACTTTAGGTAAGCAGTTTTTCATAGTCCCCCTGCATTTTTCTGTATGTGCTCTGTTCTGAGTGAGAGCACATTAGTTAGATCTGAAGGATACACTTTGTCACTGAGCAAGGCCACCAGAAGTTCTGGGGCCTCATACCCTTTCACTTCCACCAGTCTCAAGGTGGTATAACCCTGTTGACTTAAAGGAATTATTCCTGATTTTTGCCCTTGTTAGAAAAGTCGTCCTCCCAATGTATAATACTCTCTGTCTGTTGGTTTTCATCATTGGCTCTGAAAGCTAACCTTGTCCTCGCAGCAGTAACTCCTTTCCATCTTGTATGTGTGCATGTGTGTATATAATATTTATATGTGCATACACACCATGTCCAAACAATGGCTTTGTCTCTTCACTTAAAAAATAATTCAATTAATCATCTGCAGATTCATATGAAGCACATTAGTAAACAAGGAGATATTAGTATTTCAAAATTCAAAAAAAAAAAAAAAGAGAAAAAAAAAGAGAAAAAAGAAAAGCCAGCTGTGCTGGTGACTAACCAATACATGAACTGAAGCTCACACTCTGCAAGGACCTTTGGTTGACATTCGATTTTGAACCTGCCAGATGCATTTTTGTGAACCAGGGATACTGCATCTT